CCCCATTGCTTTAGAGATTTAATCAAGGTTAGGACAGAAAGGAAAAATAATAACAGACATTCATGGATGCATGAAAGTATTCAAAATCATGCAGCTGCAAGACTGAAAGAGATTGTAAGCCCTTTGGCACAGCATTTTATATTTCTGCATAAATTCATAAGAGATTTTTAAGCTGATAAAGGGAGCAGAAGGTAACTGAAAACTCCATTATTTGGCATTTCTGTATTGAGGAAATATTAAAAAGCATGCAGACCTCTATGATTAAAAGTTCATTTGATGATAAATTGGAGTCAGGGGGTTTCCCGTTATTGACTGACTCAGGTTTAAGTCTTTTTATTTAAGGAATGGTGAACTATCAAAGCATGATCTTTGCAAAGCAAATAAAAGGAATCACTTGAAGTTTTAAAAAGAGACTCTGCGTACTAATGAATGATGGGTGACCATGGGTGAGCGTTTTCCTTATCGCTATCTCAGCTTTTTGAAACCAGATGTCAAAAGAATGGATCTGGCTGTGAAGCTGAGGAAGACTACAGGCCTGCAGCAGTAGAGGGTTGTCAGTCACAAAGCAGGCTTTCTGGACACTAATAAACTTCAAAATGTTCATGTTGTTTTCAGTATGGCTTGAATTCAGCAAGAACATAATCTTCAGGAAAGTGTTTAGTGAGAGCAAGAGAAAGGAGCCAAGGGCTGTTGTACAACTGTTGTGCACTTATTTTTGCAGCCCAGTGCATTTCTAATGGCCTTCTTCAGGCCATTAGAAATAATTCAGTCAGTAATTGAATACATTGATAATTCAATATACAATCAGACAAAGTGAAAGAGATGAAAAGATTAAAGAGTTTTGTCATCCTCACACAAAGGCAAGATGTGCAACAACTTCAGAAGTCATGAAGGAGCCCAGGGCAGCTTTGAAGGAGCTAAAGGCCTCTTTTATATAGGCTATTATCAATCATCACTCCACCATCAGAATGATGCTTAATGATGGTGTAACCTCAGTTTTTACACTTTACTGAATAAACAGATGAGGCAAAATTGGCTTTTTGTTTTAAATACAAGACATTACGTTTGGGGGAAAAGCTGAAGCTTGCAGTAAAGCGTTATAACACTATCCAGCACTATCCACGTGCTGGCGGGTCGTGCACCAAGACAGCAACACTTAGCGCGCGCACACACACACACACACACACACACACACACACACACACACACACACACACACACACACACACACACACAAGACACACACACACACACACACACAGACACACACACACACACACCACTTCAAGTAGAAGTCTTGATTTCACTCCGCTAAATGTCTTTGATTTAGTTCATTGCAGTTCATTGCAGTAAACCATCAAAGATCACAGATTTGAAACGGTTAGTTTGGGGAAATGCCTCCAAGACAACAAAACAGAGGCAACAAAGGAACCAGAGACACAAAATTGAGTTATTACCAAAAATAATAAAATCTATTGTCCCTGTGTAAAAACAAAGGGAGACATAGACAATCAAAAAAAAAAATTGATCAAATCAAAAGCTGAACAAAAGAAACTCAAATACAATCATGACAGAAACATTGGTACACAGGGAGTCACATCAGCCACCAAAAGAATAGGTTCACATATGTTTGACCCTTTTGTATATGCAATATTGCACCTTTTCTTCTATAAAATAATCACTGAAAATATTATTTTTTCTTCATTTGTTCAAACGGGTTCTCTTAATGCACTTTTTGCACTTCTGATGATGTTTCAGGTCATGTCCATACATTGTTTTTGTTTTCTTTTGTTTTTGTGAGCTCTTCTACATTTCTGCAGTGTTTGCAAAAAAACTCACAATACAGTGCACAAAGCTGGCGATGTGTTATTTAACCACATAAATGCCCAGTCAGCATTCTCCTCACACTCAAACTTTAATGGTGCTCCAGCAGCCCGACAGACTACAAACAACATGTTGGAGCTGGAATCAGTGAGGTAACCTGCAGTCATTTGTAGTTGGTTATTAAGGGATTAACCCCTTTGGATTAGTCTCAGCTATGTTTCCCATCTGTCCACCGTTACAGCACAGACCTGCTGATGCACGAGCTCTGCAGGACGCACGCTAAGACACTAGCAAAGCACATACACGCAGGAGAACACAACAAAAGACATATTAGAAATATGTCTCCATGAGCATGTGAGCAAATCTTTTCCAACTGACCTACTGTACTGTAAATCTACAATATGTGTGATCATACATGCACACGCACGCACACACAAATACACAAACACATTTGCTCACGTCACATGCATGCATTCTGCAGACACGCTTATGAAAAATACATGCACACACTAATCTGTGATTAGCTGAGTGAACAGGAGACATGCAACTCATGTATACGAGAAGGTGGAATCAGTGACATGTGGCTTTGAACACAGCTGTCTCTGTTTAGATTGTATAAGTATGTGACTGTGCTTGTGAGAAACTGTGCATAACTTTTCGTCTTAATGGGATTGTTGTTTAATTTAATTTATATTATTTAGCTGAAGAAAATCTAAAAGTTGAATATGAAGACCTGGGACTTACTACAGAAAACAGTGAGGTTATACATGTAGATATTTTCTGTGGCTTAGTTCGAAAAAGCCATTAAAGAAAACACTTTACGTTATAGTGGATTTAAATGAATAATAGCTTTTCAGTTATGTGAGACCCCAACCTGAACAATTGCCTTACATGCATGTCTCTGTCACACTTTGTGTATTGTAGTTATTACCTAACTTAATAAATTACCCAATTCATTAACTTAAGCCAAAGGCTAATTAAACCAGATTAGTTTTGCTAGAGTCAGCAGCATCGTATGGGGATTTAAATAACTTTTTAAACATATAATGCATAAAAAATCATTTGTGCCATCTTAATAAAAAAATCTATTCATATTTTCATAATGTTTTAAAATATGTAACCAACCAGTAAGTGTCTTTAAAAACCCAACAAACAAAGCTGCTAATTAATGACTAATTTAATTTTATTTATTTATTTATTTTTGTAGATGACAACTTCTAACATGTATTCTGCTAGATATACACCAAAAAACGTCCAGGTAAAGCATTTCGTTGTTAAAATAACAAATTTACAGCATTAGGCACAATTTAGAGTTGAATGCTGAATGCTCTACATTCAAGCAACCATATTTGTTCTGTGTTGTGACCCAGCAGGACTAATCTGAACTGACATGAAATAATATCCACTCACATGAAGCCACTTTACTATTAGGCACCCTGTCAGCTGATTCCACAATATCTGCAGAGTAAGTTCAGATGAGGAAAATGGCCTGAAGTGACCTGTAGAAAACGGACGTCATAAACAATCAATCAGTCTGAGGCGTCAGGGGCAGCGGAGGACAACAAGAAACCAAAAACCACAAGTGGGAAGAGAAAACGGCTCTGCCCTCAAGGGCCATGCCACTGATTATTTCAGTTCATCTTATTATTCTGCTGCTGCATATATAAAAGAAAAGGCAGTCTTTTAACATGTTGATACAATGTATACTGTTTTTTCATAGATAAAAGAAAGAGTGTAAGGGAGGAGGAGGAGGGGAATATATTTGATTCACAAACACCTCAGTAACTCTGAGCTTGATGCTACTGACAGTTTAAAATATGGAAATCCAACATCAGAGCTGTAGTCACAGGCAGCAGAACTGGCCAGACAGGTCACAACCTCCCACACATCTGTCAGTGTGAACTCTGACCTACCACACTGCCTCATCAGAGTAAAGGGTGCAGAAGCAGAAGAATGGCCTGCTTGACTAGACTTTCCTCATGTGTTCCTGCTGCTCTTTGGTTGTGGTTTTTGGACTTTTTTATTTTATTTTTATTTTTATTCTCATTTCAACTCAGTTTCCTATGAAACACTTTAAGCGAACACGTTTGATATTGCATCAAATGTAGGCCATGGCCAAGAAGTGTTTAACTAAAGGGTAAACCAGTTGTTTGCTTTTGAAAGGCGCCAAGCAACGCCTCAAAAGCAGTCTTTGTGACTATCGCCACCTAGTGGCCGCCTACAACACTTCATTTATCCAGCAGGGTTACACTGTAAAAAACAAGCCTGTCTTCTAGAGCGCTAACCGACTTCCTTTGTCTCAAAAACAGTAACTTTCCCCCAGTTTAAACACATTTTAAGGTAGTTACATGTTTAACAGCCTATCTGGTTAAAAAAAAACCACGAGGGGACATGCATTTAAAGGGCCACTCTAATGTTTTCCTTGTGTTGTAGGCTTCTTGCATATATACACTTCACAGTCACTTTATTAGGTACACCTGCTCAAACGCTTGTTAATGCAAATATGTAATTAATCAATCCCATGGCAGTATCGTTTAGGCATGTAGACAAGCTCAAGATGATATGCTGAAGTTCAAACTGAGCATCATAATTGCAGAAAAGGGTGATTTAAGTCTTGATGTCTTTGAGTCTTGATTTTTGCTGCAACAGCCCGATGGAAGGTCAGAATGTGCTGTGAACAACTTGAAAACATGGCTCTTTCCTACCTTTTGCCATTGGTTTTGGCCAGTGGTGGTGGTTTAATGGTGTGGACAATATTTTCTTGGCACACTTCTCGCCTCTTTGTTCAGTTGCACATCGTTTAAATGCCACAGCCTAGCTGAGTATTACTGCTGACGATATTTATCTCCTTTTGATCACAGTGTGCCTATCCACACGTGGCTCCTGTGAGCTGGATAATTTGCCACATCATGAAACTCCAACTGATCATCTCCAACTGATTTCTTGAAGATGACTATTAGTTCATGGCCTCCACAGTCACCAGATCTCAATCCAATATAACACCTGTGAGAAGCGGTGAAACGGGAAATCTACAGTAACTGCGTGACGTCGTCATTTCAATATGGACCAAATTCTCTCTGCCGTGAATAAAGTCTGATACGAGTGTGTCATTTCTTCTCTGTTCAAGGAAGTCACACGATTAAAAATGGAATAAATTAAAACAACTGATTACAGTGTCACTATGACAAAAATCATTTTATTACTAAACATTTAACATCAGTTATTATGAGCAAATGCTTAGATGAAACTTAAATAAAGAATCTGCTGAAATAAAGTGTTTAAAAAATGTTCATACAGAACTTCTGATGTGCAAAAAAACAAACAAAGATGAAAACCTGCTAATTCATTTCCTTCATTTAATGCAGCTGCCACTCCTTTTGCTACCAACTTTTCACTTGATTTTTTTTTAAAACCAGATCATAGAAGCTTTAAAATGAATGGGTGATGCAAAATCCTGCAAAAAACAACCCACCAGTGTGCAAAAGCTAAAAAAACAAAACAAAAAATATTTTATGTTGTTCAGTGACTGAACACTTTTGAACTTGACTTAAATTTTCATCTTAGATGCATAAAAACATCTGGCTGGTAGTTTTCAGGAGGATTAGCCTCACAGAGTAGCTCTAACCTGCTAATTTAATTCACATGCTAGTTCATCCTTATTTTCACATACGAGAACCATTTTTCAGATTAATTTCATGCACAGTGATGCATGCAAACTGACTTATTATAGTAGGCCTGGTGGTCTATAATTACCCCAGATTACAGACATTAGTGACCATAAGCGGCACCTGAATAACAGTTTGGGTAGGGGAAAATGATCTGTGTGATGTCCCATGTAAGCATTAAAACTTAAAACAAATGCCACAATCCAGGCAAGGCCACAGACTATATAAACATACATAATGTGCATATTATCTTACTTAAAAAGAGTCCTTCATTTCACCGTAGCAAATTAAAAAAGAAACATAGAAAAAGAAAAGAGAAATAGCTTTCTTCGATCAAACAGATACAAAACTGAGTTGAGCTTATGAGAACTAAATGTTAACATGATTTCTACAGCACTTCATCAAAGACTAGAAAACATGAAAAAACATACAGACACGTTTTTACTACATCACCGTAGCTCTAAAAGCTGAATACTGAAACACTATAAATAATTTTAAATGACAAGATTTCATTAAGTTACATTAAAATATTGAAATCATTTACTACAAAACAAATGAATACTTGTTGCAGACACGTCCACATCAGGGTCAGTAGGTGTTGGTCTAAACAGAGCTTCACTCCATCCAATGCACTCAGCATGAGTAAAATTCAACCTCGATCTGTTTGGGAATCTGTGCTCATCATCTGAGAGCGAACATCTCATATTTAATCATCCTGACTCACTGTTCTTCCATTTGTTCTGCCGGGTTTGTGAAAGACAGCAGCCCCTGTTGCTCACGCAGCCGAACAGGCTGAGAGAAAAGTGTCATGTGTGCTAAACTGGTCACAGACAGAAGCCACACAGCAAGTTAATTTTGGGTCATGACACAGGACTGCTTTGTAAGACCAGCTGATCCTGATATGTGTCATCTCCTGCGGTGAAAGCTGAAGAGTTCTTCGTGGCACCAATCCTTGGTGAGATTGCACTTTTTGTTACTCAGGTTATTCTTTGCATTCAGTCTTATGTATATCTGAACATTTCCTTCAAACTTTTTCAAGGAGCACGGGATCGCTTTTGTTCCAGTGCTGCTCCTGATGAATATTAAGCTTCGATGAGAACTTCTCCGGGTTATGTTTCAGTCGAAGTCTGGGAATCTCTGCTCTCGTCTGCTGCTACATAGTAACAATCTCATCTTGATGAGTAGATGCAAACAGCCACAGATGTGTCTTGAAGTGGTTGGTGCAGATAAACAGCTCCACTCTCGCTCTAAAAAAAGTGTCCTTCGATCCTTTCATTCAGACCAAATACTTTTCACCTTCCACGGCGGCACCTGGGCAGAGCTCCAGGGCTGGTTGAAGAGCCAAAATTTCTCCCGTGGCTCCTCCAGCGCTGGCGCAGGACAAAGTCATAGTTGGCAGTGGGGCACATTGCATAAAACACGTTGGCTTTGTCAGGTATCTGGAGCTCTGTGGCAAGAAGAGAAGTAAAGTACCATTTAGTTTTCTCCATTTGCAAGACTAATGCAGAAACAAATTTCCAATAATGTCTGCCCTTCAAGTCTATTTAAGAAATTAAAAGCTATTAAAATATTACAAGAGCAGGAGTTAGAATATATATATGTCATCTTGTGCTGAGGCTGATTTGCATTTTAATTTATGGAAAGCTGCAGACTGATGGTGAAACATATCATTGCACAAGTGAAAATCTTTCCTGCTTTCAGAGATTAAATATTGGTATATCGTTTATCTAGTTAATGCAGTGCACAGTTTAAGGTCACATTTCATGATTTATTTACTTTTTAGAACATACTCTTGTGTTTTTGCAAACAGCTAAAAGCAGAGGAGACACACAGTTTGAAAGTCCTCACTGATAAAGGTTCATTCTGTTCTGAGCAGGTTACACCAGCACTCAAATGTTTAGACTGTTTGAATTGAAGTGTGAAGCAGAGATATTCACCTTTTCCATTTTTGAGCACCTGGTAGAGGCCGAAGTCACTGCAACTGAAGTCCTCCATGTTGTGCTTTTCAAGAGCTCTCTGAATTACCTGAGGTGTGTGCTCCTGACTGGTCAGCTGGAGAAGAAATAACAGAGTCAACACTTCACATCCGCATTGATGCATTTGAAATTTGAACGTTGCGCTGAACTGTCACCTTAAAAGGAAGCTAAAAACACACCTAACTTTTTCCGTCAACACAAAGGGGGACAAGAAAGTTCATCATGTAATCCCGACACTACTCTTCTAGTTTCCTATTTTAGAACAACGTTTGCCAAAAACATTCTAGCTGACCTTTAAAGAGCAGATATACCAGATCACCAGACGTACCACTATGCTCTTATAGACGTTTCCATTGCTGACACACTCCACACTGACTCTGATGATACACGAGTCAGCAACCTGTTTGTTGTAAACAGGCAGCGCCCGAGGAGAGCAGCTGGATGATGATGAGGACGATGGGTCTGGGTTTAGCACCAGGGAGGGGGATGTGAGGTCTGGATGTGAGGAGCTGCAGGAGGATCTAGACAGGGATGGGGAGGAGGACCCGGAGGAGGTGCCTTCTGTGACGTTGTGAAGGGAGCCCGAGAACGACTGAGGGGAGAGAGACGAGGAAAGAATATGAATACAACATTTGTCCCCGGTAACCGTTATACTGTCTGACTATATACAGGAGTGTGGAGGTTTCATACCTTTAGTTTCAGTCTGAGGGGGGAGAGCTGAGGCACAGACAGGTCCTCCATGTCGGAACCGCTCGAGCCAGAAGACGACACACTGATCTGGTCAGCGTGGGTCTTCCTGATGGGAGTGTCGACAGATGTTCTCAACCTGCAAATGCAATTTGAGTTGAGCACTTCTGAGCACTTTAAAACTTACAGCTTTCATTCAACTGACTCAAAAAGCTATATACAAAATCTAAAGAGTGGCTATTATGATTTTCCTAATTTTGTGTCATATTTATAGTGTAGCAAAAGTGGATACTCATGTTAAACATGACCAACACTTCAAATCATGAGGCCAAAATATATACAAGTGATCTTTGTGAGCCAAAATCTCAGACTGCAGACTGATCTACATGCTCAGATCTCTTGTTCTGCTCTTGGCTCCCATGAAGCCTCCTCCACCTGCTTTTTTAAAAAACCTTCTATTTAAGAGGAACAGCCAATCGGAAGAAAGCTGTTTTACAGAGAGAGGCATTAAAGCGACTGACTGGTCGTGTGTAAGATAAATAAGGATGACATTCTAAAGTTATGGTGTCAGAAATGAACACCCACCTTAACTAAATAATGTTCAATTAGCTAAAATTGTAACCTCTAAAGCACCTAAAAATAAACCGACAGACTTTAAACTTACGCGGCGAGCTTCCTTGTGAGCAGATAACTGCTCCATGTGTTGGGAGAGCTGGGGCAGAGGTCAGCTGGAGGCTCCAGTCCACGAGACAGTTCATAGCTACAACAGACAAAAACAAATAAAACAAGGCATGATGGACTTCACCAAAACCTACTTCATAATGTATATGAAGGGGTTTAGTGTGAGACTCACCTCTCCTGGTCTGTGAGCAGCGTGTGCGTCTGCAGCCAGGCGGCGATACGAGGGTTGACTGGAAAACTGTAGTGGGAACAAGAAGCTTGAAGCTGCCTAATCTGAGAAAGAATCTCAAATTCCTATAAAGGAAACAATAAAATACAGCAGAGGTTAAAATATAGAACAGAGGCGGCATATAGAAATCTGTCAGTAATTTATGCAAGACACCACTAGGAGGCGACACCTACCCGTCTGCGTTTCTCAAAGTTTATGAGGCCACCCTGTGAACAAAAGAGGGAAAAATAAACAACCTGAGTTATATTGGATAATAGATCCACTGAAGTGCCATAAAGGCAAACAAATAAAGAACTCACGTCCACTGTGTCGTTCAACGCTGTGTCCAGCATGGTGAGGACTGTCAGGTAAGTGCCCAGGTATGGTACCACACCACTGCTGTAGTTCTAAGCACAAAAAAGCCAAATCCATTATTTAAGACTGAGAACATCCCCGCAAAATGAGCAGAAAAAAAACTAGTGAGATTTTAAGACGGTGGTGAGCAGAGCAGAAGGAAACCAGGGAAAATGATATTTAATACGTAAGCAGGCACAGAAACAAAACAGCAGAGAGAAGAGCATTTCAGTATATAGACATCATGACTATGGGGGTATAAAACATTTTACACACAGCCACACCCAGACTGAGTAAACAAATGGACGTGGGAAATGCTACACACACATCTTGGGTGTATGCATCTTTCCATACATGCAAACATTTGTGTGAGCTGTCAGTGCATTTAAAATTTCCATTAAATATATTTCTATTAAACAAGAAGTGGAACTTAGCAACATATCTAGAAACTGAGCAGGGAACTAAAATTGAGAACAAGTGATATTTAAGGAAGCTAAATTGATGATGGGGGGAAAAAATGACCTCTTTCTTTTAGTTTTACCAGCCTGCTTAGTTGACAGATTCACTTTTTTTTTTAGGTGAAATCTAAAATTGAGGAACCAGAAATGATGATGAGTATCCTCTTACCATCTGCCTGGACTCCGAGCAGAGCTGGGGTGATTTATCAGCCGACATGCCACTGCTGTGTGGGTGAGTCCCATCCTACAGGAAAATGGAAATTCAGGTTTGTAATGTGAGATGAAAACAAAGTAGGCATGTTATATAATTCTTCCTGTCAGGGTTGAGGGCCTCCTAACAGGGTGCTGTGGGAGGGTACTTCTGAAGAACAAATGTGTTTAAAACTTGCAAACGAGTGTTAGACATGTGCACTCAACATATTAATAACCACTGAGTAGGACAAATGCCCAGGGAGTAACTTTTATTTGCAGTTTTATTAGTGTCAGCTAAGAACAATGGGCTTCTCTTTGTCACTGATAAAAGCAGTATCATTGAATACACACTTGTATCAGTTTCTTTCCACGGGGAAAGGCTCTCAGAACAAAAAGCAAAGTGGTAAGTGAACTGGACACACCTTTAGACTTGTGAATTAAATTCAGAAGAATATGTGACTCAACCATCAAAAAGGAGAAAGTAATTAATGAACAATAACAGGCCACTTGACAGGACTTCTCTATGAAGCTTCTCTATGAAATGATTAAGGACCTCCTTTGAAACATTTTAGTTTGAAAATGTGATCACGGAGCTGTGTGAGAATTCATGTGACTGTATTGGTATTCGTGGCTGGAATTTTAAGTAGCAGTACACTCTCTAGGTTAGTTTTTAAAAGGCGTTTCTCTGTCCATGTTTGTTTGTCAGGTTTTAATTTACCACAGTTTACATTTATCATCATCCAGCTGTAATTACAGACCCAAGAGGCACATATACAAGTAAAGCAGGTTTTATGAGAAGTCAAACAAGGCTCTTGTTGTACATTCCAGGAAGAATCCTGGTAATGTCTTCCTGCAGTGCATTCATTATTGTATTCCTTGATTCTCTGAGGACTGAGCTAAAGATACAGATACCCCGAAGGCAGTACAGTTCTGCCTATTTCAAGAACACTTGGTACTAATAACAGCTTTCTTCTCTCATCTTCAGTCCACGTTCTCCCACATGTGTATGTGTAGAAAATACATGTAGTTACCTCCACCAGGATCTCCCTGTTGGTCAGCACACAGTTCTCATCAGGAAAAGTCTCACAAAGGTGGTCAAAGGTGGCCATGCTTTCCCTGAAAACCCAAAATATTTATTACATAAAGATCGTTTCTTTTTCCTGCAGTAGTATATTCTTCTTTTGAGTGAAACAACCCTGTAATATAAATGAAATATTTGCTGACCTGCTGACAGCAGCCCATGTCTTTTTGAGGCGATACACAGCGTTGGATTGCAGGGCTGAAAGGATGGCCCTTAAAGAAGAGAAGTTCTTCAGCTCTCTGCACTCCTGCACAGATACAATAAGATTGTTCGTGTCTTTCTTGTGTCCTCATTTTGTTTTTCGATGGAAACTTTTTGTTAATCTCTAAATATTTTGTGATGCAAACCTGTGCAACAGCGATCCACCGCTCGATGACGCGTGCTCTGTGACAGGGGCTGGTGCGCAAGATGCAAGGTGAGCTCGGAGCAGAGGAGGGGTACAGGAAGTTAGAGGACAAAGAAGGTGACAAGCCAGGGGAGGAAGTGGAAGGGAGGTGCGGGGATGTGCAGAGGAGTGAGGTGATGACACTGTTGGTGACAGCGTTAAACTGGGAGATGGTGGCGCGGACCGTTGGTGCCAGGTTTCGGTTTTCTTTTTTGTCACGTTGGGACCAGACGCAGCCCAGGCAGTGGAAGGGCTCCACTTTGACAAACAGGTCCTGGGGGAAAAAATTGTCATAAGACAGGAAAAAATTAATGAGAAAAAAAAAAAACACCCTCCCACAATCAACCGAGAAACACAGAACTTCAATTTTTTATAAAAACGAAACCTACAGCGTCCAGTCTGGTCAGCTGCTCAGCCACTTCCCTCACGGGGAAGTCCATAAAGTTGTATTTGTCTTCATTCTTAGTGGACATCTCGGCTTCATCTACCTGCTGCAGTGATTCACTGCTGTGCTCTGACGCAGGCTGGCCGCAATCTGTCAAATACGCCAAATCATAAATGACATTAAAACGTGCAGCTCAATGCACACGTGAAGGAAAACACTCGTGAACCCGCGGCGGTATTTGTAAATAAGGAGAACTGTTTCAGATGCTGCAAAAATGAGCTTGTAAAAATCAACAGACCAATGAGGTCATTGAAACAAGTATCTCACAGGTAGCTTCCTTCTTTTAGATAAATAGCCAAGATTAGATTATTAGAAGTAATTAGCTTAATCTGGACCTGTAAATTAAACGATTTATTGTTGATATAAGGTCTTGAACATCAGGTTATACTAAATTCTTCTGATAAAAACTGATTCACACATGTGTTAAATCTATCCTAGCCTGACATTATGTTTGTTTTTTTTTACCTTGTTCCTGGAACCTCTTGAGCAGGCCCTCTGCATGATGAACCAAACATCTGAAGCAGAGCCGATGTTGCATGTGGACACACAAAGTCCGGAGAGCCTGGTACTGAGGGGGCTCATTGAAGTCTTCGCTGTATTCCTCTAACCAAAGCCGGATCACTGGGACCAAGGTACTAAAGGAGATTCATGGGAGATGATGATTACTGATTGATTGTTAATTTTACTCCACAAGGTTAGTTTACATGAGACTTGATGATATCTGAGGAACACGTGCATAATTTACAACAGATTAACTAAAAAACAAACAAACTTGTAACTGTTTTTTGTACTCACCTGTTCGCGTTCACTGAGTTATCCAGGTTTGTGACCGAGTCATTTCTGTAATCGGCAAGGGAGACACGATTATGTATTATCACCACAGAAAAGGACAACAATGTGAGCGAATGATGACAGAATAAACCCTGTAAACAAGGAAAGTCCCAGGGTTGCATCTTAACAACTGTTCATCCTGTGGAAATGTCCTGCAACACTCTAACTCCCTGCAGACACACCGTGTCCTTGTTACAGAGTGTAAACAGATAAATGCCCCCCATGGTGTTTAATAATGATATGCGTGCAGTAAAACTGGAGAATGGTGCCACGTTGTCGCATGTGCAGGAAGTTTTATAACAGGATCCTGTGCCTTTATTGCATGAAAGCAGGGAACAAAACAGGACTTTAAGAACCTTAGTGGTCATGGCACAGGAGCAAGTCAAAGACTGTGTAAGCTGGGTAAATTAATTCAACCCAACTTATGCAGTTAAAATATAGTTCTTTAAGAAGTTTTACAACAGCAGCAAAAGGCCACATCCTGTACAAAATCCTGTAAGGCAAAAGACGGAAAACACAATTCAGAGTTTGTTCTGATGGTGATTGCTTCTAAGAAATTTCCCAGGAAACCTTTTGCCACCAGCACTGCAGTCATGAGGGCGACTGTTTGACAAATAATATATGAACTCCACAATAGTGGTCACAGATCCATACATGATGTGATTAGCAAAGTTGAGTTAGAAAGAAAAGAGACATCAAAGTTTCTTTGAGCTGTGTTTGTTTTATAACTTTAGAACATCCTATTCTCCTCCTAATAGAAATTAGGAGGAGAATAGAATAATTTCTATTATCATCCTAACACATTGGTGTATACACAACTCCGAAATATGTACTTTGCAAAAGATTCCTGAAGGTATTTCCTGAGGCAAAATCAATAAGGTAACTGTAAATAGTTGCTGGGTGTGGAGGGTGTAGCCATGATCGTTTCACAATGGAATAAAGCTTGAGACTGCTTTGTTTAGTTCATGACGATAATACCTGTCATAGAAACCTGCTGAGGCGATGTAAACAGGCTGTTAAACTGCTCTGTCCTTTGGAAATTGATTTGTGCACTGGGCATGTTGTAAACCTGGTTATTACGCATGCGCTCCACTTTCATTTGTAAGCAGTGATGACCTTTTTAAAAGCAGCACAAAGTGGAATAATAAATAAATGTCAATAAGTTAGAAGGCAATTATTAAAGCCTTCTTATCTGTGTGGCTTCTGATAAGGGGCGATGATTAGAGCTTAACTGATTTAGTCTTTCAAATGGTCCATTTCACAAAAAATTAAGGCCTTCATCTGACTCCAGCTGTGTACATTTATACATGTCAAATCAAGCAGCAAAATTATCTCATATACGGGCTTACACACCAGCTGACTGCACCCTCATGCTTTCTGTTAACACAAGTCTACAAAATCTCACCTCTGAAACAGCAGCTCAATGAGGGTGCTGGTGGAGGTGAAGGCCCTGTAGGTGGAGAGGAACACTTGGATGAAGTCGGACTCCCTTTTCTCAGGGTCCAGTAGATGGGTAACCAGACGCTCCAGGGTAGCTGCCTTCAGCCTGCGCACCTTCACCGTGTGGTACTGGACGAAGCTCATTGGAAGCTCTCCCATGGTCGAGGTCGGCACAGGCTCCCTGCGTAGCGTGATCCCAAACACTGCCCCGTCCTCCTCCTCTTCGCCCCACTCCTGAACCGGGTCCTGCAGGAGAAAATTCAGGTAATGATCTGGCAAATCTGGACCTTGCACATGAAATTTCTTCCTGTGTTCTGCTCTGGTCTTTGTGATTCTGCAGAGCCCCCAGAATTCATTCAGTGTATAAGAGAGAATAAAAAAATGTGATCTAAATTTGTTTAAAGCCTTGGAATACGCAGATGATTGTTTCAAAATTAACTTAACAAATTCCATGATTTTATTTAAAAAGATCGAACTCTGCTTCGTTAAACTCACTGATGACATACGCACATACACACACACCTAGTGACCGATGACAGAAAATTTTGTTTTACTGACGTATTTGTTTATGCCAACAAACATGGGGATGATTCATTGCACCTGACACAGTTGACTACAATTTGATGAGGAATTTGAAAGTCTATTTTATTCTTAGTTAGATACAACCTCATATTTCCTCCTCCAAAACTTTAGAGAAATAGTCAGATGTAATAGGGAAAAAAAACGGGCCATTGGTTTATTTTTACGTGTGACACAAAATTATGACATTTTGTAATGGAAAGATTAACTTAAAACTTATTTTAACATCAGATCTGAGAAAACTCCAGATGCCTCTAGATTGGAATTTTGTAATTTAGTCATGTTAATGACAAACAACAACATTATAACATCTTTGACAGTCAAACAACAATGATGATTTTTAAGAGCATAAAAACTTACCACTCTTACTTTAAAAGGAATTTAAACAGACCACTGATCAGCTGAATTATTAATTATATAAGCTATGGAAGACATGTGAGATCAGGCAGTGAAACTGCAGAGCAACTCTTAAAGCACAAATAATTATAAATGCAGAAAAGACAACAATACTTATTTGATCTAGCTTAAACTGATCCAGCAGCCCTTCAAACTAATAACTATAACTCCAAATAGATGGTTTTTTACAAAGCCACAGACATTAGTGAGTAACTGGGTTCCAAACCCCACAGGCAAACAATCTCAAACTTGCCATGAGATCTGGGTGTCACCTCATCTTCTAATACTCACAGATCTGAAATGAGGCTCGCTGATCCTGCTGGTAAACAAGCGTTATTTTGTGCATGCATGACAATAGGAGCAGAGCACTCTTTAAAATACCTGACACCACATGACAGAAACCAGTGTGCAAAGCATTGTGACACCAGCGCATACTCAACAGTGAATGAAACTTTTATATTTTCCCTGCACACCATAGAATCACGATTAAGTTCACATGAAGCTGACAACAAATGAAAACAACCAAGAATGAAAAAGCTGCAGTCAGATTCATGTGTTAACTTATAACTAATGCATGCCAGAAAGCAGACCGTTCATTTGACCTACCATGGATAAGTGCCATTTTCCCATCTTTATCCTGCTCTTGGGGTAAATAAGTCCTTCTGTGTGTAAACTCTCGTGGCAGTGGATTTTTAAGGATTCAATCACGGTCTTCGACACTTGGCTTGAGTCTGAAGTAAACCTGACACTTTCATCCTTCATAAATAATATAGCGAAAATGTCTCTTTAAAAAAATAATAAATAAATACAAAGATACGCGAGCACAACTTTCCAAACTGTCGCTTAACTAGAATGACGCCTGGACGGGTAAAACGAATAGAAGTTATTTCGGTGGGCGGAGCTAATAAACAGGTGTGGGCCGGCTCAACACAAACAACCAATAAGATTAGGCAAATAAATAGCATCAGACGCTATCGTGCATATTTTAAGCCTGAGGTTGTGACTGGAAATTTGTTACTGATACTCGCAATACTGTAAAGGTTTCCAGCGCTGTTATCACAGCAGCATCAGCAGAGTAATATGATCAGTGCTGTTTACGTGTGACATCAGGAAGTAAGGACCCCATCTATCCGTCTGTCTGGCTACTTTTTAAAAGCCGGATCCTCAAACTGAAAGCCACTCAAGTAAAATAAACCACGGAGAGTCACAAAGACATAATTACCCGAATGGTATTAAATTGTTCTATATTTATTTCTCCAACCATTTAGAGTTTGCTGTCTGAGTTTCCAAGTCTCCAAAGCACACATGTCGGATAAAAATATTATTTTATTTATATTTTCATGAGAAATAAAGTGGAGTAAGAATGGTCTTAAAAACCAACTTGTTTTTGCATGAAACCTCTGTAGCGATTTCATATTCTATCACTGATGTGAGTTTGACTCTTTAAAAGAGTTTAGACGAACCCAGCACAGCGATTACAGGTGAAGTCTGTGACTTCTAGTGTCAGAGATATCACATTTTGTCATGGGTTTGGCATGTTTGCTGGTCATAAATTTAGCCTCATCTCCCTCACTGAAGCCACCATGATGTTGTTATGATCCAGCACCCTTCCTAGAATGGGAAGCTTGACTCTACAGTGCCATTTGAGTGTTAGTACCAGACACATAATGCAATGTGACGGCTTACAATATGTGTGGTAATAGTGAGTCATAGCTATATGTTTTTAAATAACTAATAAGTATAAGTAAGTATTTAGAAATGTTCAAATTTATATCACATAAAACTCATAAAACAATGATAATCGGCAACTACTGTGACATCTGCTGGCCATGGTATAAATAGTAAAAGATGGACTTGATGAAACCTTAATTTCCTTAACTATCATCTTTTTCAGTATGTCTTGACATATATTGGATTCTGATGCACGGTTACAAGAAATATTTTGAGATGGACGCAGATGATCTATTGCGACAGCCCCTAAAGGGAGCAGCCGAATGAAAATGAGGAAACTTTTTATCATAATTTAATGATGGATAAAAAATTGTGCTATGTGGGAAGTTAACAGTTTTGGGGGCATGTCGAAGAAGTTTGTGAACCTCTGTCTCAAAGTCTGGGTGGCCTTAAAACAAATAAAACTGAGACACAGTAGAGGACCATCCAATCAGGGCGAGACTAAGAAACAGCATTTAACACTTCCTAATCATGTGAAAGAACTTCTCCTCATCCTATACTGTTTTACTGAAATACTACTACTACAATTTACTCTGGGGATTTTACTTTCTGTTGTTTATACATGAATATATCTGTGTGTACATGTAGATTTGTGTTTATGTCTGGCCAAAACCTCACACTCTATTTAATTGGGGACCTTTTAGATTTCAGTGTTTTGAAAAGCATTACAAAATGCCACAACATTTATTATTTTCTAGACGTGCATTAAGTGTTTTGCCAAGATCTTGTACTGATGATGCAGGAGTCAGACCACTGTCTAAAGTCTTCTCCAGCATGTCCCAAAGACACTATATTCAGGCAGGGTTGATTTAATATTAAAGACCTGACTAACCGAAGCAAACACATCATAATACTGCCCCCACAGGCTTGTACAGCAGATGCTATTCATAAGGGGGAAAACCTCATTCAGCTCAGTTCTTATCCTAATGGGCCAGTCACACTGGAACAGGATAAATGTGGAGTCATCTGACCGTTTGACCTTTCCGTTGCTCCAGAGTCCAGTCCCTAGCAAAGTGAAAGTCTTTCCTTGCCAAACAGCCTCACTGATAAGCGGTTTTCTTAAAGCTAAACAGCTGTTTACCCCCAATCCATTTAGTTTGCTATGAGCTCTACAGTTTATTTTATGGTCTGTTTGGTTTTCTGATTGATGCAGGCTTAAAATCGGACACTTCTGAAACAGACGATCATCTCTTCCATGACAACAGGAGGCAGCTTCTGAAATTGTGGTTTTAAAATATTTTTAAAAAATGTTTAAAAAGTTAGTCACTGCATCAGTCAGGGTTAACTAACCAGTTCCCACCCGAAGAATGTTAATCGCTGCAGTAATTATTTAATGGAAGCCTCCCACCAAATGATGACTTCTTGTTGGCCACCTGCGTATATGTATGTGTGTATGCATATGTATTCATATATAAGAATGTGTATATATTTTTATTTTCCTTTTCTTATTTTTTTGTTTTCTTGACAATAAAGGCATCCAATTCGAGATAAACAGGGATTGTTTTGAACTGTGAATCATATAGACTCCAGTAGATACAGAGCTGTAAATAGACATAAACGCTCCTTTTAAACAGGCCCAAGTGCTTTCCACTTGCTTCATCTTCTTTGAGGAAATATTATTTTTTTGTTTTTGGAAAATGTTAAGGGAAGATTGATCTTGCAAATGCAAAGCTAATTCTAGGCCAGTGTGAAAAAACTAGAAACAATGCAGTCACACCATAAAAGAATCCAGTCAGGACAGTTTTTCCCCAAGAGCTTAATGTCATGTTAAAGGCGCGGTGACATACCACAAAGACAGGTCGTAGTTCTAAAAATATGTGTGCGATTAAAAAAAAAAAGGTACAAAACAGCGATAGGCATCTATGTATTAAAACCAAAGAAATTCTTTCATATGAATTTGGAGACAAACTGACAAATAAGCAAAACACAAGCTGAGCGGATGGAGCATCTTCAGTCAGGCTTCTGTCATTGATCATTAAGCCCAAAAGGAAGAATGAGCTTTTTGTTTGCCTAATGAGTTTCACTCTCATTCACTCTCACAAAGCCACCCTCTATTCCGAAAGAGGCTAAACAAAAATGTGGAGAAACAGAGGAAGGGGAGACCTCAATTACTTCTAATTAGACACAATAAATGGTGATGTGATGGCAGGCCAGAAACGGGTTGGGCAGGCAGGCAACAAGTAAAACCCAGCCTACAAACAGTTAACGATGACTGCTTTGAAAAACACGCATGATCAAAAGGCTTTTTCTTTGGTCTGAAATATGATATATTTTCTGGAGAGTCTATTTCACTGTAGTTCTTCCTTAGTTTTAGTAAAAGGCTATTGTTAGTGATGACGTCTTGACTGTAAAAACAACGGGACAATAGCTGAACTCACCCCACCCACGAACACACACACACACGCACACACACAGGACACAGGATTTTTAAGTAATCAGTTTAAAACTATTATATTTGACTTCTTTCTTAGATATAAGTAAGTTCTTGTTTTCCAGTTTTTCCCAGTCATCCATGATAGTTAGAAAGAATATTAGGTTTGGTTGTTGGCAACATTAACCTGAGATATAGGAACCTGTAACAGGCACCTTCTATTAATGTTTCACAATGATTCAAAGAAAAATGAACCTTTAATGAAAAATAATTCATTCCAGTTTGAAACTGATGGATCAGTCTTTGCATAAATAACTTCCTTTCTTCTCTAGAAATTGAATATATTTTGCTGGTTACACAAAACAAAGAATATGGAGAAACTTAAGTCTCCTGAGAGTGAACGGTGCTTTTCTAAAACATATTTTGCTAAATGGTGTGAACTATCTTAACAGTTAATCATTAATGAAAAGTCTTGCAGATCATTGTTTTTATCAGCTGTGGGTTATTACATAAACTGGCAGGGCTGGCAGGGCCTTGCCACTACACAGGACTCTTTAGCAATAATGGACTGTAAGTGCTTTTACAGCTCAGTGTAACTTTGTGATTGCAGAATCTAACAAATGTTATAGGTAATTCATTTATTTATGTTGTGTACTGGTTTCGTTTACTATTGCTTACAATCCAAATCTCAGTCAAATAAAAGTTGAATAAAGGCATATAAATCTCAAAATGTAATAATATTATAGATTATATTTCATGTAATATTCTAGTGAATCATATTATATAGAAATCACACCTTGTGTTTTCTATTCAGAAAATAAACGGCATTTTTGAACTGGGGTTACTGATGTTTTGGGTTAGTTTCACTACTGACTTTCAGGAGGTTCACCTGAACTATTTAGATGAAAATGTAAAACACAGTTGTTGACAGTGCACCAAGAATAGCACCCCACTATTGCATAAAGCTGAGCGTGACACACCAGCCTTTTCTCAACATTGCTACAAAACTCCAAACTCACCTCACACTGTCCATCGGTGTCCAAAAACTGGAAACTCCTTAGCCACACTCCAGGCTCCGTGTTCATGTGAACACCCATGCACTGACTCTGCCTCAGCCAAAGCAGCCTCTTCATCCTGCCAACCCTGCTGCGGAGGCTGCGGGGTTCCCCGGCATCACTGCCTCCACACACAGGCAGGATGGTCCTCATGTTTTCGCTCTGTGCCGGTCACGCTACAAGCCCACGCACACCTCGTCAGACCTCTCCCACACCTGATGCCTCATCTGTGTCAGGGAGGAGAGCGTGAAAACAACCACCACACATTTACAGTCATTTAAAGTTTATTCCAGAGCGGCTAACACTGTAATACTGCTTGATACCTCTGATATCCAGCCATTTTAAAATCTATTAAACAGACCAGTGCTAAAAACTGGAATAACGGTAGCTGAATAAAATCATGTTCAACAGAAAACAGCACTGCACTATGACATAAAACATTTTAATTTGATTAATTCACTTCTTAATGAAATACATCTATCTGTTCTTCTATAGCATAAAAAAACAGAAAGAACTATAAGAAAGCATTAAGATATGGGGCATTTATCTTGAATTAATTTAAGTTTAATAAAATAAAACTGACCCAATACTGAGTGTATACATGAAATGCGCCAGTGTTTGCTTTGTTAAAATGACACTGCTTACATTTTTGGAATCATACTGATTTTTTAAAAGCTGCCTATCTTCTATTAAAAAGGCTTTTAATGGGCACATAAGACAATAAACAAAAACATGAACACTGAGTGACATATTACTTTCATTTTGACCATTCAATATTTCTCTAATAAGGTACAAAATTAACATATTGAAACACCTGCAAGATGCAGAAAATGCGTCGGCCACAGAATCTCCAAGAAAAATCTTCATCAGTCTGATATTAAATACGATCACATCTACACAAAGCAAAGAAAACGACAGTCACTTACTGCTTCTCAGTAATCCTTGTTCAGAGCTGCACTTGTCCAACCAGAATACTCATTTAGAGCAGTGTGAAACTTGGAAGGAAGAGACTCTGGTATTTATCACCGAGGGCTGATTGTTCTTTGTGTTTGTGGGTGGATGATGCCCTGTGCATGTACGTACGTGTGTGTACGTGTGTGTATGTGTGAGTATGTGTGTGTGTGTTGGAATGGCCTCCTCCTTGTTTGGCTGTACTCTCTGTGATATGTAATTATGTCCCATTTTAATCGTTTCTCACAAAAATTCACTGCCTTCTTTTCCCCCCTCAGCCATGGATAGAAATAAGCACCTCTGCTGCAGAAATGTAAAAAAAAAAAAAAACGTGCCTTTTTTTTTGTTAAACAGTGCAAATTGCCATGAATTCATTTTGACTGATGAGAGTTTGGTGGTAAAATGCCAAGCCCTTAAATAATTCTTCTTACCTAGGAATGTATTATTTCGCATTTGAAAGGCAAGGCAAGCATGCAGTCACACCTAAAGCCTCCACTAACAGCTGAGGCATGTTCAACAGAAAGCATTTTTGGCATAAGATGCTGAAGAATCGAGCCTACACTTGTGGCAGTGATTCAAATTCTGCAGCAGAAGGAGCATGCCTGCCTCCTCTCACGAACTGGTTGGTAAAGGCAAAAAGGCAGCGATAAAGCAGACATACATGTGTAGATTTCAGGAAGCTGAGGAGACAAGCCCCCGTCAGAAATTTAGATTCTTAATAAAATGAAGGAAGCAGAGGAATTATTGAGAAGAAATGGGCAGTGCAGGAATGGGCATCTCTTTTACTAGAAAATATGAATTCTGTGTTTATAATGCAGCGCTTTTTGGTAATAAACATCCTTAAACACACGCAATGTTGTGATGTCAGTCAGCAGCTGTATAGCCTTTCCGCTGCAACCATGCACAGACGACCAGAAGAGCTGATAGCCATGAAAGAGCCAGAAAGAAAAACAAGGAAGTCTAATATTAGGACATCTTTTCTCTAGAAAGTCTAAAAAACAAGTGAGCCACTTTGTCAAAGTACTGCTGCTACTTCCCTGGCTAAACCTTAAAAACAACAAAGCAGAGATATGCATGATTTCTAATAAATAAATACATAAAGTGCAATTAACATTGACATGAATAGATGCCACCTTTAAGAGGTTACCTTCTCAAATTGTCTAAAAGTAGCCTGGTGCAGTATTCTCTCCTTATGCTCTGACTTCCGCAAATGGAACCAAGCAAACATAAATGAGGACTGAAGAGCAAATTGTGCGTCTGCCTTGATGTATCAAAGCCAATATACAGAAAGAAACCTGGAGCATAATTAAGCAAAATCAACTGCAGTCTATGTTGAACTGTTACCTGGTGCCTGATTATATGGGTTTTCATTGGCATTAATAAGAACATTCCTACCACATATTGATGCATAAAATAGATACATTTGTGCAGATTCACTTGAATGTGGCAAAGGAAGTGTCTGATGCTTAAAATATCACTATAGTAGAAATATTTTGTGTAATATTTTTTGATGGTGATCAATGATGGTTTGGGGAGGCATAACCATAGATGGACACACAGACCTCGACAGGCAACAGGTTGAACTTCAGACTATCCAGAAACTCAGTGATGCCCTGGAGGAGAGGTCCAAAAAGACATCCATCATGTCATTAGGAGCATGCCCTGACATTGTCACAAAGGCTTACAGGCACATAAGAGCCTGAGTTGTTGCAATGAAATTTCGGTAAAAAGGACAAGCCTACTGCATCGTGTTTTCTCTTAGAATTTCAGGGTCTCTTTGAATTTAGCCATCTGTAAGTTGCTATTTTTAATTTCCACCAAATGATGTGGCATCATTTCGTTTGAACATTACCCAGTCCATATCAGTACAGATATCCATTGTGATTTTTCCCCCACTGAGATCTGGTGTATTTCTCTGTTACTGCTTATCCTGGTGAACTAAACCAACGGCCTTCTCCGTGTTCCTTTAATGTTTTTGAGCAGTGAATATAGAATAAAGCACTGTGGGAATGTATGGTTAAAATGTGATTAGTAGCTGTGGTCGGTAAGACCAGAGAAGTGCTATAGAAATTCCAGTACATAACAATAACTTTAGGTATAGGCTAATGTAATGTTTCAGATGAACTCAAAGTGCATAAGTCTGTGAAAAAACTCTCTAAATAAATGTTCTCAGGAGCTTTTATTAGTCCATCCATAACAACAAACAGAGGCTTAGTACTAATTGCATAATTGTGCTGGGATCAAATACGCATTCAGATAGTTAAGCTACGCTCTAAGTCAGATTTATTTTGTTTCCAGTATCACAAAATCCCCTTTATATTATCTTCCAAACATCATATAAGTTCTAACAGCTTCTATTCCCGCATAAAATATACTGAAATGTAGATAAACTTAGTTTTAGAGAGCAATGGATAAAAAAGACATGAACAAGCAATCAAAAAACTTCAGCAAAACTTATAAAATGAACACAACCTGAGCCATGCTCGGCACAATGTTTTATCACAGTTGTCCTTATTCTAACCTTTTTTGGAGCACACACACATATATACACAAAAACCTAATAACTGTGCTCAGAGAGCTTTTGTTCACAGCACAGAGTTGTCTTTCTGGTTGCTTTTGGTACGTCATTCAATCACTGCTGCTGACCTAGCCCTGTGCGAGACACTGAGACATTTACTGTGGTTATTATCTGACATGTTGGTATGGAGATGTATTATTCAGTCTACTCAACCAGTGGTTAAGAAGAGAAGCAGCAAACACTGTCTAAGATGCCAATCGTTGCAGAAATAGTTCAGGTGTACGCACTTTAGGGAGGGTTCATATTCACATCTGTAACTTATAGCAGGACAAAGCAAGTTTGATGTAATTCAAGCATGAATAAAGGCTGGATTCGTCACAAGTATTGGCTTTCAGAAGGCTACTATACTTTGGGTTTGTTAGATAAAACCGACAACATTCATTGTTTCTAACAACAGGAAAATAACAACATTAACAACTAAGGAGTTGCTAGTTACTGGGTTCTATTCCACACACTATACAGGGAGTTATGGTAAAAAGAATAAAAACTAAAAACAGTATTTTTTCACTGGGTTCCAGGAAGGCTCAGGGTGAAATGTGAGCTCAAAAAACAGAGGTGGGGTAGAGTGTGTTGGTGCAACAGTGACACCTGACTATTGCCAAAACAAACCCAGTTACACAATAAGTATAGACACGAAGCATCAATTTATGAAAATCATTTAATACTGTTATACTGTTAAAATACATGTTTTCATTTACAGTACACTAAATATCTTTATAGCACCGGCTAAGACACAAAATAACAATTACAGAGGTGAAACAATTGTCACGGAAAGTCTTAGACACAATCATCCCATTTTATATTTCATGTTTTTGGGAGACATTGAGGATTGTGTTGTCGCTTTATAACTTGCCCTTCTTCTTCATCATCTTCATCTTGGTCTTTCTCTTGGAGTGGGAGTCAATGATTAGCTGAGACTGAAGCTTCAGCGCTTCACGCGTGATGACCTTAGCTTTGCCCTCGTCAGTCTCATTTTCTGCAACAGAAGCGGTGAAGTAAGTAGGGATGTAGACAGTGTGCAGTCATTACTGTTGGTGTGTAAAAGGATACCAACTTACTGTCATGGAGGGGGTCATGTGCTTGATCCACAGGTGGTTTGGCTCTGGTGATGTATGCTGACAGTTTTTCTTCACTTCTTATGTACAACTAATAAAGAAACATCAAGTCAGAAATTAAGATGTTTTTTTAAACACTAAAAATCTCAAATTCCATTAAAACTCTGTGAGTCATAAGCCCTGCCCACATTTAAAGCAATTCACTTACTGGCTTGTGCCTTCTTCAGTGTGTAGAGATACAAAGATAGCAACATAAGATTATAGTTTCTTTCTCTACAGGTGTGCAACACTAAACACATGCATCCTTTTCTGTTTTTTATGTCACCAGGGGGAACAATGAGTACAACATTTCTGTAACCTTGCAAGTCACCTCCCAAAATTATTCAATTGATAAATAAAGGGACACTGCCCTGTAAGATCGCAGCTATCATAGGGTGAAAGACTGTTAAGGTTGTACCCTGATAAATAAAACATCAAAGTCCACATTCCTAACAGGTGGACATGTAAAAAAACCTCTTTGAAAAAAAGTACATGTTTAAAAAAACAAAGTTCAAAAATCTTTTTTTCATGCATAAAGATGATCAAAAATACTTAAGAAAAAAATCCTGATTGAGGTTGTCATAATTCATACATGAAAGGGTTAAGTGTAGTGAGCATATCAGCATTCTCAGGTTTGGCCTGTGCTTTGATGCAGTGTTTCCTGCTGCAGAAAACAGATGTTATGTTGATGAAGATGATCTTAATTAATGTTAATAATAATTCAGCTCAGCCTAACAGCACCAGATCTTACATCCTGCAGAAAAAACAAAACAAAAATAGCCTTTTCTATGTTTAAAAATATTAATACAATTTAACTAATATAATTTGATATTTTATACTTGTTTAAATCTGCAAAATAATATGGAAATAGTAATAACCTTGAAATAAGGTGTCGTAAACCGCCTCTTTTATCACTGTGACAGAAAATGGGATGGCTATCATTAGCTTTCAGCAAGATGCCTAATCTAGACAGATCATCTGCTTACATACATTTGTACTGTAGTCTGCTTGCATTAATGATGATTGCAGTAACAAGTGTTGCTGTTTCAATTTTTCAAAAGTTTTTTGTAATGAAATGATTTGATTTACTCAATGAATCATTGCAGCCCTTTTAAATACAGTGAATAAGTTAGTTAAAAGCTTATTGACATTTAACCACCTTATCACATAATACCAGCTACTTGTTTTATATTATCCAATATGATTCTTAACATAGCCCATGTGTTAGCAGTGGTTACTAGGCTTATGTATGTCTACAACATTAACCCTCTCAGGACCAAATTAAGTTTTTTGTTGCTAATGCACAACCAAGTCCTGCAGTGGTACTTCTGAGTAAAAAAACCTCATAAAATATGTATGTGGGGCAATCAGGTTGTTAGGTCTTAACTGTTGCAAATCTGCAACGTCTGCCTGGAGAGGGTTAACTTGCAAAAGCTAAGATGAACAGACTGATTTTTGCCACACTTCAAATTCTCCTTTAGTAGAGGTACAAAGGAAAGCCAAGTAAAGTTCAACTGCACCAGCCAGGCAAATAAGGCTGGACTGATTTCCAAATTATCAGCTCAGAGTTGCGTCAGTTACAAAGATCGTACCATTTAAAAATGGACCTGTGACCCATATTATCAATGTCATGGTTGAATGTCAGGCAGACTGTTGCATGTTTCCTGTCCTCATATTCTCAAAGTGAGAAGGTGCTGTTGAGTGTTCAGTCAAGAACAAACACTTCAGGTGCCTCTAATGGTTACCTTTCCATCCTGATAAGTAAAGCAAAGAAAGCACAGCAGCTTTTACACAGCTTTATGTAAGCTGTGAAAAGCTCAAGCTCAGACAGTGTTTAAATTTCAAACTGTGACAGTCTAATTATTACAAGTTGTCTGACAATGTTCCCAAACCTTTTCCTGTTAATAGCTCTGATCAGGTGACTCACAGCTCTTCAAAGGCACCTGTTCATAAGTGTTATACTATATACGTATAATGTTCTAACATTCTCTGTTAATAGAGACACCATGTGCAATGCAATCAATGTTGTGCCCATGCCTTTCCCACTCTGACTACTACATCTTTGCTAGAACTACCTCTGCAAATGTCAACCATGTTTTCTATATCCCATCTAGACTCAGGACCAATGTTCCCTCTAAGCTGCGCATGTGCACAATTGCACACTGCTGGCACAGTCTCTGCACACAAAAAATCTGCCTTGCGCACAAAAAAAATCTAACCTGAATTGCATTGCATTGAATCATGCGATTTACATTCGTATATACCGAACTAAACAACGTGGTTGACAGGCTATGACAGCGTCCTTATGTGCCGACACCGGTGTTTTAGCTAGCAAAGCGGCGTGGCTGATAAGGAGTGAAGCCGTTAATGACAACGTGTACAACCACTGGAGATGTGAGCAGGACAGACGGAACAATTGACGGGAAAAGTGTGGACTTTATACCAGTTTTTAAATTGTGTTGATAGGCCACGTTATACCAGAGGGATTCAGTGCTGGCGTGACCACACGTCTGCTGTTGCTCACAGTGGTCCAAGGGACCGCTCAGGGAGTTTGTGTGTTCGCTCAGACACATGAAAAATTAGAGGAAACATTGCTCAGGACCTGTCTTTAAAATAGCCGTGTTGCTACAGAGGGCCTTTGTCTCACCTTGTTTTTTTCCAGCTCCTTCATTATACCAGCCACATCCTTCCCCTGAAGTTCTTTGTGCAGTGACAATAATTTCTTCTCACACTGGGCCATCAGCTCCAGAACAAAGTGATCAGAATCTGGATCCACTTCAGGAACTGTGCCCTCACTCTTGAAGAAGATGAGTGAACAAACATAAAAAGGAATTACACTTAAAAAGCTTTGTGTTTGAGGGCAGAAAAATATTTTAATATTAGGAATAAGTGATAAACTGGCTATTTCAATATTATGACTGGTTGAAATCGTTAGTACCAGTGAGATGTGTTGAAGTTTGTTGGCCAGGTGCTCAACTCCAGCTTGGGCAGTGTGAAGAGTCTTCAAGAGCCAATCCAGTCGCTCTTTGGCTGCATCACACTTCTGCTGCTGAGTCTGCAGGTGCTGCTCAGACTCCTGCAGGGCCTGCTGGTCACTAATGAAACAGAGAAAGAGCAGAGGCTATCAGACAATGTGATAGCTGTTGCATTAAAGTTTTAAATACATGGCTTACCAAATGTATTTTTATTTGCCTCAGTTGCCCTAAATTAACAGCATTTGTAATAACCAAAATCATATTTATGCTTGAGTTTTTGTTGTTATCCATGAATATTCAATTTCATGGACAACAATTTGAAAAAATTAGTAAAGCACATTATTATTTGTGATTAAGATGTCAAATTACTGTTATTTACTTGCATTTCTGGACATAAAAAATATTTTTATGCCCAGTGTGCTGGCTCAAACCTTTGTATAGGTTACACAGAATACGTTATAAATTATATTTATCTGACTAAATATAATTTTTAGTTCTTGTAGTTCTGTAGTTCTTGACAGATTTCTAAAATATTTGTGTTTTCTTGTTTTTATCACAAGAGTAATAATAGATTTCAACCATTGTCAAGCAGATGTCTATACTTCACCTGGGGTGTTTAGCCTGTCTAAAATATTTCATCTCCTCAAACTGTTGGCTCAGAAGCTCCTTCTCTTCCTTCAGCTGCAGCAGGACTTTCTCATTCTCTTCCTTCAGTTTCAGCAGATGCTGGTGTGTCTCCTCCTGAGAGTTAAAGCACTCCAGTATCTCCTACACAAACACAGAATGGATGAAAAAAAGAATAACAGCAACTACATGGTGTGTACTAGAATCAGTGGGAACATTTATACCTGTATGTCTGTGACACCTGTGGTCTCGCTGATGTGCCTGAAGGCCTCCTCAAAAGTAGAAATTTTTTTCAAATCTTCTTCTTCCATCCTGGTGATGATATGCTGGGCCTCACCGCTTAGTTTTTCTGGCAGAGTTATCTGATCCTGCAGGTATTAATCATTCCCTTATTATTATTTTACCAAAGAATAGGGAGGCCTTCACTGTGGATTAGGTTTAGGCTGCTCTGTTTTAGCTTTCGTTCCTTGTGAAAATCTCCAGTTATTCGCATCCATACATTTAATACCCCACTGATATAATTACGGCTATACATTTCTCGGTAAGTAAAATTCAATACATACATAATGTGTCACCTTGTGTCTCTCACCCTTATATCGACTTTTTCAGCCTGGGCCTTGCATTCCTTAACCTTTTTCCTGTAACTTGCTATTATACACGCCCTCTCCTTACTGTCCTTGTAAAGCAGCTCCTCCCGCTTCTGCAACTCATCCTGCAAAGAACAAGAAGAATGGCTGAAAAACTTGTTTCAGTTCACTTAAACTAAATGGAGACAGTGAAACAAACAGATTGTTAGTATGACAGAATCGTATTATTACCTATAATATAGCCCAGGAGGTGTCTGAGATAAGTGTGGACAGACATGTTATCCTCAATCATTTCATTTTATCTTCACAAGATTAGATAAGGTAAGGCAAGGCTAGTGTATTAGTGTTTCCAAGTTATACCTCCTAATTTATAATTCCAGAAAATCGTCTGACTTATGAGAGCAATAGGGAGTGGATTCTAATTCTTACACTGTATCTTGAAACATTTATGCTTTTAACTCATCACACAGGATATATCTTATAGATCACCTTAGTAGCTTCTTTGGAGAGCTGTTGGTCATTATTCATGATCTGCAGCCTATTCATCTCCTCTCTTTGCTTCAGGATTTCTGCTTCCAGACAGTCCAACTGGCCCTTGTAAGTGAGACTCTGCTCCTGAGGCGGTGAAGGTGGAAAAGGGAGTGAACATGAAATAAACAGAATCGGAAATAAGGTTGTCCATGTGAGAGAAATAAAGTATTTAGATTACCTGACTGTGATCAAGGAATTAAAACCAAATCAAGACAAAATGTGCACTAACACAAAATTTAATTTAAATAATATTTTAATCATATAATCCTTACGATTTTCAACAGTCAGGTCCCATTGATGCTGTTATTTATTGCTAACATTGTATTTAAATTAGGAACTTATCGATTGACATCCTGTAATTACCTTTCTATTTTGTAGTTTTTGATGGGGTTTTTTTTTCAGCAGGTTTAAAAATTCCTGACCTGGATTTAAAATCTCCACCTGTGTATGTAACAGTGTGTTTGTTTGCACTATAAACAGACAGATCACTTGCTCTATTTCTGTCAAAGGGGCTTTTGATGGTGTGGCAGCAGTTATATATACCGTACTTGCTCTTACAGTAGCAATTAAACCACACATAAAAAAAAATAGGAAAAAAAACCCTTAAATGTAAATAAATTTGACTGGTTTCCTTGGAAAACAGGAATCAAGAACTAGTATGTCAATTGAAGAATAAACAGGGACAGTATCAAACAGAGTCCCATATAACAGTCAACCAACCGCAGAGTACAGCGAAGATCTACTATTTTCTGCAAAACTGCCAAACAGCAATGAATAATAGACTCTGTACAAAACACTGCTCATGTTCGAGTGCTTCCACTTGCATGCAGGCATCTGCTAATGCATAATGGAGAGTTAACAGCTAGCGTGAATAGCAAAATAATCACTACAAATTTACTGATATTTCAAAAATATCTGAGACAAACCATTATAGGACAATTAACAAATTCTTTAACAAAAATCACATCAAATGAAGATAAGTTTAAGCGTAACAAAACATTTTCTCACATGCTGGACTTACATGTAAGTGATTTTTGAATTTCAGATAGTTAACCATGATGTTCTTAGCTTCCATGCATTTAAACTGGGTTTTCTCCAGATCATTCTCCAGAGCCAGCAGTTTCTAAACATAAACACAAATCATTGGTCATCGTCATCTATGATCTGTCATTTTGCTCAAGTCTGCAAATGAGCACAACAAACAACAAAAAGTAATCCCAAAAAAATTTGATTTTTTGGGGGGTCAGAGAGGTAATTACCATGGCATCGTCCTTTTTTTTCTGAGTGCGAGCATCAGAGGATACTTTACTGCTGCTGCTCTCTGATTTCAGCCTCTGGTACTCCATCTTCAACTGATTGAGGCGACGCTGGTAGACCTCATTTGTGTGTTTTACAGCATTGATACACTTCCTCTTGAACAGCACTCCTTCATTTAGCATTTCATTTACCTCCTGAAAAACAGGAGGCAGGCGTTTGTGAGGAATGCGGTACAGTCAATAAAACATACAATAAAACTATATTTACTGACACTGTATACAGTAATGAAAAAGAAAGTTTTCATGGGGTTGTGAAAAACTATGTACACCGCTTTCTAGTGGAATTAAGTGGATGAGTAATTACACACTTGATTAATTGATCATCAACAAGTGTGATCACCTGTATATAAACAGGTTTTGCCAGTTTGCTGGTCCAGCAATCATCCTAGGAGTAGATGCAAATTCATTCTGAGGTCAGGCTGTGCATTGGTCAGAAAATAGCAAAAAGACATTAATCTAATTCTGCTAAAGGATTCGAGGCTTCTTTATTGTCATTTGCATCACATGTTTACATAAGGTGGAACGAAATTACGTGCACACGGTCCCGGAGCGAAAGAAACAGAATAAGAAGAAACAATAAGAAGTAATAGGTAGTACAAATAAATGGAGTGCAACAACCTGAGTAATATAAATGCAAGTATTAAAGTAATACAAATAAAATAAATAGAGTAAAACAACCTGAGTACCAGTATGGGGTATAGATATAGCAGCAAACGGGCATTATGTAAAGGTGTACTTAGTTTATAGAAATCAGTAGACTGCTGTGAAAACTTTCTTCTATTTAATATAAAATAGGAATTCCCATCTTATTACACTTTGTTTTTTCATGATGTGTATACTGACTTCCTCTTACCTTCACTGTGCTGTTGCAGAAGGCCTTCCCCTCCATATCTCTGTTTTTAAAGGCCACTTTGATTATATGTTCATCAGGCTAAGAGGAAAGACAAGACAATGACTGAGACACATTTGATCTGGATGACTCCATGTGGGGAGTGCAAAGCATTTTTTTTAAAATCTCTTGTCTCTGTGTCTTTTATTTTGATGAGTTTTAGTTTATTAAAACACTGCACTTCAGGACACTTTTTTCTAATGTTTGACTTTTACCCAGTAGAAATGATTTTTTAAAAGTGCAGATTAACCTGTATTTTGCTGTCAAAGCCGTGCCCAGATGCAAGTCACCACTAGCTATACAGACTGACATAAATTAAAAGCAATAAAGCATAAACCTGAGAAACCACTTATAATTAGTTGTGGTAGCCTATGTGTGAGATTCCTAACTTTCCTAATGTCAGATGTTGCTCAAAAGAGATGTACCAATCTATGGATCTAGGGTTAAAACTTTCCTTCTTGATAAAGTTTATAGTTAAGACCCTGAACCCTCCCTCAGTTACCCTGCAATAGGCTTAGAGTGTTTCTTCTTCACTTACCCCCCTCACAATCAAGTGGCAGTGGCAGAACCACAATCCCTCCTTTAGCCTGGCTCTGCTGGAGGTTTCTTCCTGTTAAAAGGAGGTTTTTCCTTGCTATTGTCACCAAGCACTTGCTCGTAGGGAGTCGTTTGCTTGTTAGAGTTTTATCTGTATTATTTTAGGGTCGTTAGTTTGCAATATAAAGTGCCTTGAGGCAACTGTTTTCGTGATGTGGTGCAATATAAATAAAACTAAATTGAAATAAAATGTGCCCAACCTTGATCTGTAACCTTTATTATTTCAGTAAGTTGGATTTATCCAAATTTCAGACCACTTCCCCACAATTAAACACATGTTTCATGTTTAGTTTGTTGTGATCTGATCGCCTTACTTACAGCCTTAGTTTCTGCCAGCTGTTTACGCAGATTCTCGTTCTCCTGCCTCAGCTGACGGATGAACTCTTTTTGCTTCCTGGTGGTGGCCTCAGTCCTCTCATAACGTAATGTTTTTTCCCCCTCTAGTGGACAAATATAATAATGCATGGAAATAGGCGATCCATAACTTTATACTTAATAACTCGCTTATTTTATTCGACTTAATAATATGAATTATAAAGCATTAAGAATTCATGTATATTCATTCACGCTAAATATGGCAGTTAGCTGGCTGATTCCAGCTAACCCATGCCTACTAGCATGAAATTAAATCAAGGCACCCACTGCATTTCAAACAAACATACCAAGAAATTTGATTTTACGCTGAAGCTCCAGTTTCTGATCAGATATGCTGCCACTGACCGCCATTTTTGTGAGTTAGCACAGAGTGCGTAAAGGAGAAATTATCCCGTATTTCGTTTTAGCTTGAGCTAACCGCAACCGGTATGTTTTACGTGCACACGTTGCCTAGCAACATGTACATTTATAACGGGACTGAAAGTTGGGGATCTTTCGAGCATTCCTTTTTTTTAAAAGCTGTATTTTCTGTCTCAAAAGCCCACAAGTCTAGTAGAATTATTACACTTTCACAATTATTCTAATTATAATATTGTTGTACGGGCTGCTGTACCTCAGAATGAATGCTGAGATTTAACGGCTTGACGGCCTTCGTAGAGACGGTTCTCAACTTGTTCCCTGTAGAACCCTGTTATAGTGTAGTAGTTCTTACCAAGATAAAGATATTTACAAAAATAAAATTATTTTGTATATGCTATTTCATTTTATGTAAATATTACTGTTATTTGCCAACATTATCAAGCAGCACCATATAGTAATGGACAGCTGGACTGAGTAAATCAGTCATAATGATAATCCAATGATAAAGAAAAGCTTAAAGAAACCAACAAAACACTAAAAACAAAAAAGGAGGATGTCAAAACCAACATTTATTAGTTGAATACAAAAGAAAAGACAATGTAAACATTTTACAAAGTCAAAATTCACACAGTATGAACATGTTTCATTTTCAGTGGCATGTATGACACAAAAAAGAATAAAGACAAAGCTATTAAAATATTGAGTCTATATCCAGGTTAAACCACTTGGGTCATTTGTAATCTCTTAAGGCTTTGGTTATCATACTAAGATTTAATCACTTGCAGTTAAGGGATTTTGCTTTGGTGAGTTAATTTTTAAACAGTGCAATATGCTTAGTTAAACTAATAAAGCACAGCTTTATTCAATCTGCCTTAAACTGGACCCACTGAAACTTCCATATAGACATAAAATCCAAATATACAATGAAACAGAAAGCAATAGCTCTTAAGGCAACAGGGCTTATCATCTGTAACTCCAGCTCACATTTTCCTTCTGTAATAAATCTCAACCTGTGCATGCAGGTAAAGAGAGATAATTAAGAGTTTGTCACAAAATACAAAACAAAGAGTAATATCATAAAAACAATATAAATGAATCCGATTTGACAGTTAGATACAAATACACTGTTTATGTACAAATGAAATGGCACTGTAATTCCTCCTTTTGTTCTTTTAACTTGAGACACACACACATACACACACACACACAGAAAAATACACCCATGAATACAAACTGAGGCTTAGTCCATTGATTTGTAATCTTCATTAGACTTCTTGAGGAGTGTGAGCAGGTCCTGTGACATGAAATACGGCCTCTCCTGTGATCCATCATTGCGCTCCAGGTCCTCCACTGCAACATGGACAAGAGAGAGTTGAAGAACAATTTTCTCACACACCAACACAGATCTGTAATCTATCTTTCTTTTATTTATGCATCGTCTATCTGCCGCCAGTTTTATCTTACAGCCCCCTAAGGTGTACTTAAGTAAATTGCTTTGAGTATTATCTAATTAGGTGTGGGGGGGGGGG